CAGTCAAACTTCGTCAGCATCGTCGTGTACAGCCTCCGGGATCGCGCTTTGGCCGTCGTATTTTGTTTATCATCGCGATTTGGAGTCACTACCTTCTTGTAAGTCGATAGTCCGGCTCGTTTTTTGGCTCGATGCACGGTTGTAGACGATACACCCAGCTTATTTGCGGCATCTCGGAGAGAGAGGTTAGGGTTTCGCTTGAAACTACCGGCAACTCTCTTTGTCGTCTCAGCGGCTTCCGGTTTTCGATTTCCCCCCGATCCAGACTTCCTGGCTGTCGACAAACGTTCCCCAAACACTTTAATTACATTTGTAACGGTTGATTTGGCAACTTTTAGCGATTTTGCCAACTTTGCGTGCGAGTAGCTCGGATTTTCGCGATGCGCGAGCAAAATTTTGATACGCTGCTCTTCTTGCTTGGACGGCATTTTGACAACTGAAGAGTGAATTCCAAAATCAAAATAGGAGCAACATTCTACACACACACACCTTCAAAATGAGGGGTGTTCAGGTTTTTTAAATGCAAAATTGAAAGAAATACGTCAAGTTGATATTGACCAAATTTTGACCGTATCACCCTTTATCTCATCGATTTGCCTGGTCGATGTAACGATCACACTGATGTCGTCCACACTGATACAAAATCCATTGGCAAAAATACTATATTACTGTTTTAAATTAAATACCCTCACCAATAGATTTGTGCAGAAAACAATTTCATTTAATTTTACTATTATTTCTATCAAAATTACTATGCATTTTGAGCAAGCATAGTAGTTTCGTCAGAATCATAGTAAATTGTTTTACATTCGTAGTCAACTATACTGAATTCATAGTAGATTTAACAGTAATAAGCGCGGTTATATTGATAATAAGTGTTTTCTGCAAAATAGTATTTCTAACTATGATCCTTGTTTCAGTGCACATACGCCACCAGCAGATCATTCCCGCACACTCTTTCGAGTCTGCACACTAGTGGATACAGGTAGAGAACGAAGAGGTGCATGGATAGCGGATCCCCTTGCCGTACAGAGCATTGAATTTCGAACGGACGAGAAAGGTGCCCATTGATCAACAGCCGGGAGGTGGACCGGCTGGCGATTCGCGAGAGTAGAGCGATGAGATCCTGGTTCAAGAAGAGCGAGCGCATGGTTTCGAAGAGAAAAGAGTGCCGGACCCGATCGAAAGCGTGATCGAGATCAAAGCTGATTAACTTCCCGGCACGGCGGTGGTGGCGGAGATGTGCTATCCGGTCCTTGATAGCAAGAGTGGCTTGAAAGATGTTGTGCTCTCAGTTGGAGCATTTCTGCCCGTTGCTCAAGACGTGGTGCTCTCTCATCACTTGCTCGAGTCTGGTTTTGAGAATGCAGGAGAGGAGCTTGTAGTCGCTGTTGAGCAGCGAGATCGAACGATATGAACGGGCTGTGTCGTCGCCGCCTCTCTTCTTAACCAGCACGATGATACCATCGACAAACGCTGGAGGAAGATTACCGATGAGTGCCTCATTCAGCAACAGATTCAACTAACGGTGGATGACGTCGAACATGCGGTGGTAGAACTCTCTCGGAATACCATCGCAGCCGGGAGATTTTCGTGGGACGCTCGCTGTTATTGCAGACCAGATTTCTGCCGTTGTAATGTCGTCCGTGCAGGCTTCATTCGATGGGTCGCAGACGAAACTGTTCTCATTCTCTTTTGTTTCCTCCTCCGAGTACAGCGTCGAGAAGTAGTCCATCATGTGCGTCTCGATCGCTCGTGGCTCTGCTACCGTTTCGTCTTGCTCTGTCTGCAGCTGAGTGATGACGGTTCTCTTCCTTTGCCTCTCCCCCTATTGGAATATTGACATGGGTTCTCCCGCCACATGTGTTTCATACATTCGCATGAACGTGTAGGAAAATCTCCGTTGAAGCGCTAGCATTTCACCTTTCAACCGGTTGATGGTGGTTATCATTTCAGGGTGCTGGTAGTACCCGTCGTAGGCTAGCCGAAGCTCGCTGTAGAGATACTGATCTTCATTGTGGAATTCATCGAAGACGGCTCGAGATTTCCATGTGAAAAAGCTTTTGATCTTGGGCTTAGCGAACAAAATCCACCATTCGATCCAGGAGTCATAGTTTCTGCGCTGCCGGGTCCAATATTGCCACTGGTATTGGAACTCGGCAACGGGAGGTAAAGTCTGAGTACCTGAGATTGAAATCGCCGGCCAGAATGACATGCGCGGTACGATGGCGGAGATAGTAGGTAAGCGTCCCATTGAAAAAGTTCTCCCGAGCTGCACGTAGCGAAGAGCCGGAGGGAGCGTTAACGTTACAGATCGTTGCAAGCAGTCGGCCGTCCAAGCTTCTCTCGATGTGAGTGGCCTGGATGTGTTCCTTCAGGGCAATAGCTGTTCCCCTTCTCGTATGGTCCACATTGAAGAAAACGACGTAGCCAGGCAAGGAGAGCTGTTCGTTCTCTACTTCTTGTAGACACACGATATCGAGGCTATGGCTGTTAATGAAGCTTCGGAGCGCGTTCAGTTTCGTGGGGTTCGTGATGGTGCCGATGTTGATGGACGAGATGTTGTACGACGTGAGAGCCATTTATAAGCGATTGTCCTCGTCCCTCTCGTCGTCGTCGTCATCCCGGCGGAGTTTTTTACCGGCTGGTTTGCCTCGGCTTCGTCTACTGCTCGTGGAAGCGGAGGATTCATCGGTTTCGTTCCCGTTGCCGCTTCTGCTCTGCGATCGCAGCGCATTTTCTGGCTTTTTGAACACGTCATCCAAAACCACGACAGCTTGTGGTGGTGTTAGGAACGAACTTGACGCATTGTGTGCTCGTTGTATTTGCGGTTCCGAAGATACTGATTGGTGTCAACAACTTCAACTTGATGGTTCCTTTGAAGATAAGGGAAGGACGCAGTCTCCAACCCGTCGCTGCAAAAATGAGACTAGGTTGGTGCATCTATGGCGGTGAAGGAGCTAATGAAGCGAGAGCTACGGTCAACTGCCATTCCTGTGTTTGCGCGTCAGATTAAGCTCTACACGATCTTGTCAAGGATTTCTTCACGACGGATGACGTAGGTACGCAGCCAGCAATGAATCTGCTATCCGAGGAAGATAAGCGTGCTAAACGGATCCTGGAGGAAACAACGATTCGAGTCGGCACCCATTATGAAACCGGTCTTCTGTGGAAGTATGACCACATAGAGCTTCCTGACAGCTACAACATTGCTCTTCGTCGGCTTGAATGCTTGGAGAGGAAGATGGATCGAAGCCCAGAACTCAAGAATGCCTTGCAGAAACAACTAAAGGACTACCAACTCAAGGGCTACGCACACCGTGGAGGAGGTAGCTACTGCTGATCCCAGAAGAGTATGGTATTTACTTTAGGAACGGTGCTGAATCCACGGAAGCCGGGAGAGGTCCGCATGATTTGAGACGCTAAAGCTGTTGTAAACGGAATTTCTCTCAACTCAGTACTATTGAAAGGTCCAGATCAACTGACGTCGCTTCCTGGCGTTCTGGTTCGCTTCCGACAGTTCAGTGTGGTCGTTTCAGCTGATTTAAAAGAGATGCTCCACCAACTATACATGCGCAAGAAAGATCGTCACTCGCAGCGATTCCTATTTCGCAGTGATCCTTCCAGAGCTCCAGACATCTATCTAGCATGACTCACAAAGATAGAACAACTAGGTTTAAGTATATAGCTGTAAGATAATTTAACTAGCTGTAAGAGACAATTTAATTTAGCTTTATGCAAATAAATTTCACTTTTTAATTATTCTTCTCCTTTTGTTCGTACCTTCACTATGAAATTCTATTATAATTAGATAGATGACACAGCAGATCTTCACGGTCTATCTTCCTTCTCTTCTTCAGCTCTGTCAACGTGACAGTTTAGCTGACAGTTCGCCCGAGCCGCTACTGTACCTTCACAAGCAGTGTTCCCAGTGCCAACACTGGTTATACTCACAAATCATAGGGAAATTGGGGTAAAACGGGAATTTTCCGTGCTCTCCTATCTACGAGACCTAGCGCAATCGATTTCCTGGACATTTTCACACACAAAAGTGCTCTTCTATTGGTTGGAACCGTTTGCGTTTTGAGAATATCAATTAAGAGTAACAATTGCCGAATTTTTTCCACTGTGCGCAGGCGGGAGGGGGTTTATGAACCGCCTCAAATGCATCTACAAATCACTAGAAGTTATTCAACAGGCACGTAGCTAGCGTTTCACCCTGGGGATGATATTTACTGCTCATCGACCATGTAAAAATGTTCGTAACTCATACGATTCAACAAACTTGTATTATTGTCCCTCATCATTTTAAGAAATGTTAAATCGCTCGAAGACGCTTTCCAAAGCTTTTAAGAAAGACTTACGATGAGTATTAATCTTTTCCCATTACAAGACTAGGTGACGCAGATAGAAAAAAAAGTATAACATGTTTTCAGTCCCTGCTCATCGACCTGTCAGCAAAATTGCAATCGGTGTTTGTTCAAATCCGTTCGGAATCTTCCAAGTGTACTTAAAATTACCTCATTAAGACAATTTCCGCCATTAATCATCAGCAGCAGAGATATGGAAAAAAGAGCCTCCCGTCATGTTTTAATTTTCAGTTTTTCTCACATCGTAACCGATTCCAAGTCTAATCTAAAGCAAGCGAAAGATGCGGTACCACCTTAGACCAGGCTCCAAGGTAAACACATTAATCATGTACTCTTTATGAGCTACGCATCTTTCGCCTCCCCCTATTGCTTTCAGCCGAACCGAGGGGTTGGGAAGCACAGGAGCAAAGCCTTTTGGAATATACGATGATGTCGCGTTCTTTGGCAGAGTGGAATCTGTAGCGTTTGAGTTGGAAATTATGAGCCATCGAGATGAATGAAGCGCGGAAAAAATGTTGGAAATTTCCTTTTTATCATCCCCTACCGGCAAACACCCTTACCAGTCCGCATGTCTGTTAAAAAATTCACACTTTTGTTTGTCTTTTCTATCTCCTTACATCCTGCCAACAGGTTTCCTGGATAAGAAAACGAGATCTACACATCCTGTCAGCGGGAATGGTTGTTTACACCTCCGATGAACGATTTCAGGTAAGTTTGGGAAAATATTTAGCTCGTGTGGTGTGTTGAGATTGGAAATAAAATGCTATCAGGAAATCTTTATGAAGGTATTTTCCTTTTTGTTAAAAAGAAGTAAAAGTTATAAAATGTGACTCAAGACATCAGAAGAAGGTAACAAGTGACATTAATTGGATTTTTTTTTCTGGAACCTGATTAAAAATCCTGCATCATTATTTCAAGACTGAATTCCGGGCATACATTTCATCAAAGAGAAATAAATGTCTACATATGCACATCTACATCTACATCTACATTCTACATATGTAGAAATGTCTTTCTCTTCGATTAAATGTATGTCTGGAAATCATCTGCAGGTATATACAATTCGTTTCCCTCTGCTCGTAATAAACTAACATTTATATTTTGATATCATAATGTGACTTTCTCTGAACTCCATTATACTTAATGGAAAAATAATTGTACCTCAATTTTCAAAATGCCGTATTTAAAATTCAATATATCAAAGATCGAAAATGTCACTTCTAATCGACAAAGTTGAGCCAAGCTTTTTTTCAATTCTTTTATTTAGTAAGGCATGCTTCAACAAAGAAAAATTGTAGATCTAAAGCTAAGGCCCTCCAAGCTGGTTGAGGTCCCCAGCCAGCAGACAGACAGGCGATTCTCAAAATAACTAGGCTAGGCTAATTTTTGGTCAACTTTGGAGTGTTGTAACTTCATCAAATCTGGACTGAATTTAACTCTCTCAGAAGCATTTGACCACGAAAATAGTCATGGTCACCGGATACCAGAGATATTCCAGTTTGTTATGCAAAATCTGTGATGAGTTTTTTTTTTATATGATGCCGGTTGAAAATCTCTATTTTCGTTGAATACACCTAGAGAAGAACCATTTCCAAAGCGAATGATACGCCAAGACCTAAAATCATCTAAAATCAACCGTGATATGGCCATTCCTCTGGAATCGGTTCTGATGCAGGATTCTGAATGCGGTTATATCTGTCAAGCACTCAAAACATGCCGTGCAACAGCTCTTTCTTCAGAGTTTTTCATGAATAGGCTTTCTATAAGCTTCAAATTGATGACTAACCACATTGGAGCAGTTCCAGACCAAATAACGAAAAAATGATTCGACCATCTCCGATTAGTATGATGTGCTTGACATCAATGACCCACATCAACTCACGAAGAGCTACTAATTCCAATCAATAGCGGTGCGGCTTCTTTCTCCTTATATGGATGCTCATTGCAGGCAGCTTTTCGTTGTGTACTGAAGAACACCACCACTCACCACGTGGTGATTGAATAAACAGTGTTTGGTGAGACCGGATGGAATTCAACTTTGAAATCTGTGTTAGGGAAATCGCTTTTCGCAGGCAATCGGTGATAATTTTAATTATCATAGCCACAGTTGCACATTCGTGCAATTTACAATTATGAAATTTTGAGAAATGAAGTCTTAATTTTAACAGATTCGTAGAAAAAACACAATCGATTGGCGTATTAAGAATTGAAATCCATTATCTCTGGATCAAAATCAGGCCACTTTCATGCCACGACCGACTTTGGTTTTTGAAATAGCACCCCCAATGTTGCCTGCAAGAACATGGTATGTTAGATTTTAACATATCTAAATAGAGCTGGAATTAGCTGTATCAGCTTTTGTAAAAAATGACTTCTCTCGATAATTTTCAGAAATTCAAAGCACGCCCACGCAAATCAACATTACCGTCGGGTAGGGGAAGTCTGACCCTACCTGTTGCCTTTTGCTGTGCCCCCACATCAGAGTCCGCCTGTATCCGCGATCAGCAAACGTCAACGCGAACATCAGTGTCCAGCGGCCGAATGTCAAAAGAGGAAAATCGAAAGTAATAATCTCTGCCGAAGAGTGAAGGAAACCCTTATAAACGTGAATTTGCAGTAAAATTGTATTTGATTAGTGTAAAATATATTCTGGATTGATAATCCCACCCACGAAGGGATCTGGTGGTTTATTTCCGGCGATAAAACCATTAGTTTCGTGAGCACTTGTGTTTATACCGGAGTGATATTGAATTGTGTTGTATTTTATGTAGCTGTAGAAGCGTGACCAAATTGTGAGTAGAATGAATTCAATTTATACACTCTTTATTGATAAAATACAATTTAGCTTTAAGATACACGGCACAACTGAACCCAGTGCGTTCTCTGTAAGGAGGTCCGAGTTCAAAATCCAACAAAAGCTTAAAGAATTGGTATAAAACTCTGACGGAAAGATGCCGGAAACGGAATTGTCGTCGATCGAACAACCTGGACAACATGGTGTTCTGTCCCAGGTGTGAGGAATGGTTCCACTATCAATGTGCTGGAGTTGACGAAACCATAGCGGATGAAAGCTGGATGCTCGGCTCTTCCAATTTCTACTCCACTTGGACCGACAAGTACTCCTGTGTCCACGGTGGCTTCCAGTGTACCACCGGTGGTGATGACAGCCGCTGCGGGCAGTTCCAGCCAGTCTGTATTGACGGAACAAGCCAAGGTGGATTTACAGTGGATTAAGGATCAACAAGAATTGCTGGAACGTGAGATGGAGGAGAATCACCGAGCAGAGATGGAACGTAAAAGATTGGAGTTGAAGAAGCTGTCAACCCAGGCCATGTTACGAATTTAAACCGAAAGCCCGAACGATGAACAGCTTGAACGAACAATCAGTTGCGGCAGGAGCCGGTAATGTGCGAAATTGGATGCAAGCGATGGTCGGAGAGATGAGGAACCTTTCAATCGCTCAAAGGAGAGAGGTAGTAGAGGTGACATCGTCGGTCATGCCCGTATATGACATCAGTTCCACTTCGACGACTACAGGTGCCATACCGAACACGTTCGACCTGACTCTGTCATCAACCCTCCTAGGTGCGGTAAGTGGGTCGGTTAACATGCATCCAGTGACTATTTCATCGGTTGAACATACTACTTCGCAAACGCTCACGGATTTACAAGCCGAAATCGATCGCCTTCGTCTAGCTGGGGCAATACCAAAAGGTCTGGTAATTCGAGTGCCAGTAATGTTGGGACAAGGTAGCTCCACTCAAACAAATGTTGTGACGGCCTGTCCTACACTTCCAACGGTGATTTTTTCTTCCCCTTACCCGGGGTTACATCAGCATGGGGGTAGTTAGCCAGCCAACGACTATGATCCCACAAATACAACCTTATCTCGGGATGGCAACAGACATGGGTCAACCATGGATACCTTCTGGATATGCAGTACACTCAACGGCAAGATGTGGATTGCCAATCCTGGTAGCGTGGCCGCAGGTGGAGGACAGCAACCTCTACCGTTTCTCCAGTATGGAGTGAATTCAACGGCAGGATGGGGATTCCCACCCGTAATGAATGCCAGTAGCGTGGCCGCATGTGGAGGACAGGTGCTTCCAAGGATGTATGATCAGGTAGGACAGTATTTAGTGACACCCACCCAGCAGCAGATGATGCCAAGATAGATCATGTAACTAGATCTTCCACCATTCAGAGGGGAGCCGGAAGATTTGCCTCTATTTTACAGTGCGTACATGAACTCGACAGCAGCGTGTGGTTTTATAGACGTGGAAAATTTGGTCAGATTTCAGCGTGCGCTCCAAGGTAAGGCATTCGATGCGGTCAAAAGCCGACTGCTCCTTCCAGCGTGTGTACCTCAGGTTTTCTCCACGCTGTACATGCCTTTATGATCGCCCGGAGTTGATCATCCAGAAGCTGCAAAATAAGATTCAAGACGTTCCAGCACCGAAGTCGGACAAATTGGATACGCTGATTTTGTTCGGGATGGCGGTTAAAAACTTTTGCGATCATCTCGAAGCGGCTAGACAAGTGGCACATATGTGCAACCCAGTCTTACTACAGGAGCTGGTTGAAAAAATCCCGGTGGACTGAGCTTTGTACAAACGTCAGTTTGTGGCAGTTGATCTGCGAACATTCGTGGCCTACATGTCAACACTGGTGGCTGCCCAAGTAACATTGCAATTTTGATCGAGGATTTAAAGCATGCTACAAGTCTAAATCACGGTCTGCAGAACCCTCATAAAACCAAAATTGTTACTTGGATGCGGCATCTGATGTCACGGTATTTTCGGAATGTAATCAATCGCAATCGGGTAGAAGCGAGCGTGTCAGGGACAAGAACTTTCTAAACGCTAATTCAACAAGTGAAGCACCGAAGGAAGAAAGCAAGGAGGAGACCCCTCCAGCAGTGTTATGCATGGCATGCAACCAACGTTGCCAGGTCATTTTGAGAAAAATCTGGACCAGTTGAAATATAAAATCTGGAAGGCTCCAAAAAATCCTGTTTTTAACATAATGCTATTGAAATCAAAATAAATTTATTCAAAGTACCCAAATGTTTATGAATTACATGTTTAAATAAATTATATAAAACAAATAACTTGTTAGCATTGCTTAAATCATCCAAAAGTTATGAAAAGTATTGACACAGTGTGCCAAAAATGTTTAAATATCCGTTACACAGCATTTCAAAAATTGAGTTAAATCGTTGCAGAAAATATTTTTAGAATTGTTTTTTAAACTGTAACTTTAAAAAAAAAATGAGAAGCAAAGTATCAAGCAAATTTGATTGGTTGGATTTTTTAAACTAATAGTCGATGTAGTCCATACTTTTTGAAGCAGTACCATAATATGTCTAAATTTTTTTAATAGTTCTAAATAATTCTAATATTACCCTGAGGTTGATCAGACTTTCAATGTAATTATTGACATCATAGTAGGCAGTAGTAGACATCATAGTAGGCAAGTAAAATTCACCAAGCTGAAGTGGGAATCAAAGCCTAACATCATGGTACTCACACGCAGTTTACCTAAACTACAGGTAACTCAACAGTTTGCTGAATTTATATATTTCCTGGGTCCCAGATAAAGAAATTGTATTGTTAGTCTGAATTTACTTGGAACTCTTAACAGGATACATTCATCCTTTTTTTCAGAGTTCCGTTTGAATCATCCCTGAATTCCATCATACATTTTCTGGATTCCCCTTAAATAATCTGGATAATTTCCCAACTTTTTCAGTAACATTCTAAGAGTTCTCTTGTTATCTCTTATAAATCTCTCTCCGATTCCATAATTCCCTCAAACTAGCAATAATGTCCAAGAATTGACATAATTTTGTTTTCATCTTTCTCTATGAAATTCCCTTAGAATATTCTAAGTAATTTCCTTTGCACACTCTTCCGAATGACCGTCACACTATTCTAAGACCTATCCGATAATTCCCTTCGAGCTGCTTTGTAGGTAAGGTCAGATTGTTTTGAAATCCTCTTCAGTATTTGATAAGTACTTAAATACTTTGCCAAAATGGCATTGAAAGTCTCCCAGAAATTGTCAGATGTTCTTTTGGCATAATTTCGATTACATTTTTTAAAATTTTATAAAAATGAATCTTCATAGAAACATTGGACAGAATTCCATTGAAATTATTCACAGGATTCATATACTCCTTAAGTTTCATCATAAGAACTTTCTATGATTTCTCTTCCGAATTATATTTCCATTCTTCACAAAATCTCCATGCAATTGTCATCAAAGTTTTTAAAAGACAACTGACACTGTCTTCCACCAGAGGTTGCACAGACTGAAAACTAAACACTAGAAAACTGGCAACACACCACACCCAGTAGACCAGTAGAGAAATTTTCAGGTTGCGAAAAGTTCCACTGGCTGGAGCGGGAATCGAACCTTCACTTCGTGGCACTCACAATACGCCTGAATGACGGGTAACACCGCACGACCACGAAGCTTAAAAAGATGGATGGAGCTCTTCTAAGAATTAACTTGAAATTCTCCTTTGGTTTCGCAATGAATTCTCCTCACACTTCACTGTAAACTATTTTCAAAATAACCTTAAAATTCTGAAATTCTAGGGCAATTTAGAATGCTGAAGAAATTTAGGCTGCTGTAACTCAATATCTATAGGTACTTAAAAATGCTAAAAATTACCAGATGCCTTTCAAATTTTCCTTATGAATAATCCTCAAAAATCTCACAAACATACTTCAAAGTCCTGGGGGTGTCTACATTCAAAAGCCAAATTTTCCTATGCTCAATTTATTGTTTTCAATCCTGAACAGTTTTCGATTTCTCTAAATGAAAATATTATGAAATTTTTCTCATATTGAACTTTTGATTTTTTTAATATAGAAAAAATCTAAATAAAAATTCCAACTAAACAAACATTCAGGTCAAATATTTTTAAAGTTTGAAGATTTTTTTGCAGCATATAATCTTTAGAAAATGTCTCCATTTTCATGATTATGCAACCCATTAACATGCAAACAGGTTGTAACAATTCCATGTACGATGTTGCAATAATTTCCAACATGGATGGCCTTCAATAATTAAAGAAGCAGTTATTATTTTTTATCAGAGTGTAAATCAACTGTAATGATAATTTATCTTGCCAGATGCCCGAAAATATTCGTAAACATTTCGTAAATATTTCGTGAGAACATAACGCGAATACTGTTGAATAACAATAATATTCCCTGTCAAATTGCAATTGTCATACGCAAACTTAATTATAATTATTTAATTCTCAACAGTTAACCAGCGTATGGCTGAAAATCTCCTTAACAAAAACAACCAACCTCAACATTTAAATTCAACCCCAATCTCAATACTTCCAACGCTTTTCTTCGTGAAGCGCTCGTGTTTATGTAGATTGCTCGATTGGAACCGCTTTTGACGGTTCGATTTGAACTTTTGGCTTCAGTCTTCGCGCGTCTCTTATTTAATGTCGTCTCTGGTTAAATCCATGGTCACTCAAAGACTGAATAAAATTTTCGATCATGGTCTCTGAGATGGTCTGTTAAATTTCATAGGAAATATTGCTTCGTATCAATAGTTCGAGTATGTATGTTGGAAAATTAAACGTGAGAATGTTGATTTTTATTACACAATTAGGCTTATAATCCGTACATGTTAACGCTCATTATATCATTTTCGCATTAATTTCAATAACATAAACCATGTTTATCATTCGTCAATTATCGTATGAGCAAAAATAAAACGTTTCCCCGAAATATATTGCGGAATCGAAATTGGATCAATTTGCTTCACACCCATTATGCTGTCAGATGATCAAATTAATTGTCATCAGCACATCGTTTAAATGATGCCGACGGGTTTTGACATTCGCCATAATTGGATCATGTTCTGATAATTTATACTATTAGCTTGAACGAGATGTTTTGCTTTTTGTTTTCATTGTCCATGCACACATCTCTCCCGCGGCTGACGGTTAGGTGACACGTTCGGAGAAATCGGAAATCTGGACGATGCAGATTAAGTTCGCTCAGCAGCGGGACTCTGGCGCCTACGAGTGCCAAGTCAACACAGTGCCTAAGATGTCGATGACATTCCAGTTAAACGTAGTAGGTAAGAAGTAGGGAACAAGGCGTGTCTGTAGTTGAGTCGTTCAAACGCATTTCTTCCACAGAGGCGAAAGCCCTCATCCTCGGACCAACCGACATATACGTAAAGATAGGCAGCGCTGTGACGCTGACCTGTATCATCACCCAAGGACCTCACGATTTGGGTACAATCTATTGGTATCGAGGTAAACACACTTCAGCGTGTGTTTTCAAATCATTCCACCACTCAGGGCTACTCCAATTCTATTCCACAGGGACAAACATCATCAAACCCACGGAGACACATCCCAACGAGACATCGATAGCATATCCGCCACGAATATCAGTAGATCTCAAGTGGACCGAAGCTTTAACGTCGAGGTGAGTTGACTCCCAAGAGGATGGACAATCAATTAGTTGGATATATTCCAATTAAACATTGATTCAATTTTAAATTCTGCAGACTGAAAATACTCGATGCCAAGCTGTCAGATTCGGGTAATTACACGTGTATGCCCACGTCTGCAGAAGCCAGCAGCGTGATGGTGCACGTGCTAAACGGTGAGTTATGGTGGTAGACGGGCTAGGTAGGCTTTACACATGAAATATTACAACAATTTTATTTTAGTTTAATTTTTCAATGTTCGAAGCATGCATCCATCTACTGTATAAATGTATTCAATAATCAAATTGACTGCAGCAACCGTTTTCATAGAAGCGATACTCGCTGCGTCCAATTATGCTAATAGCTGGTATCTCCTAATTCCATTTCAGAGGAAAATCCCGCCGCAATGCAACGAGGAGGTAGCATTGCTCGACACAGTACAACCACCTGCCAGCTGTACTTGTGGGCTGTCCTGGTAGTTCTGTTCTCACGGTACTATCGCCCTGATTGGCATTCGTAGCAGTAGCTGTAAACTGCTCCGGTTCGAGTTCTTCTCTATGGGGGAGAGTAGCACTTAAGCCTCCGCACAGACCAACGACCGGACTAAATTGTCTGTTGGATGGCATGTGCGGCCAAACCGGAGCCTCTGAAGCACACAAACGAAAAAAAAAGGAAATCTGTGAACGAAATCAATTTTTGGGACGATATTTGGAGGATGGAACGTTCGGTGCGATCCTAGCAAGGTAAGCCAAACGACGGTTATTTACAAACTCGCACACATCTGGTGATTGGGTGCGGGATGAACGTTGATTTGACCCGCAAGCGTGAATTGTAATGGAATAATAAATTTGATCAAAACTTGGAATGTTGTGCACTAGGAAAACCCAAACCATGAGGGAATGTTTGTTTTGCAAGATGAGTGTTGATCTATGCATGAAAATAATATCGATCTCGTAAAGCTGGGAGCTCTCTCTAGTGATGCATAAACATTTTAAAAATATCCAAGGCAATTGATGATAAAAAATCATGTTTCAATAGTGAAGCGCAGCTGCTGGAATGTTAAATATTATTCAAAACCATTAGCAATGATATGCACTGACCTACGCAGTATACACTTACTAGTACATTCCACTATTTTTACAATGTAACTTTACAGATACATGTTCATATTATGCTACAATAAAAATGTTGTATGCTATGTTGGGACTAAGGAATTCCAACATGTTCCCTGGCTATCGTGATGTGTATATACAGTCAGGAATCCTTATTGCCGGATTCCTTATTGCCGGATTCCTTATTGCCGGATTTCTTATTGCCGGGCTATCCGCGAATAAGGATACCCACAGCTTATGAGATTTTCACTAATAGGGGCTAAGGTGGATTATCTCATTTGTTTCAATATATACAGCTATGCTGTCTTCGACAAAGTTGTTGTGCTGGGATAGACCAACAAGCCTGTGTCATTGAATTCAGGTTTAATTGGGAACTACGACCCTAGAGGCGCTTCACTTTTATGTTACTTATGACGGGAGCTATAATATATGGATCATAGGTCCAACAAAGAATATTTCGTGATCCTGGCCATATAGACAGTTACTGTCTTGAGCCAAGTCCTTCCGGATGGTGGCCATATTAGTTCAGAACTCTCTTACTACGCAGTGCTAGTGTGCAAATGAGCTTGCTATATAAGCTGTATCTCAAAATCCTGGCCAAATAGAAGGTTACTGTCTTCAGCAAAGTTGTTCAGGTGATAATGTCCTTTTGTATGGTGTTCATATTAGTTCAAATCTCTCTCACTACGCAGCGCTATTGTGCATGTGAACTTCCTATATAAACTGTATCTCGAGAACCTGGCCATATAGAACGTTGCTGTCTTCAGCAAAGTTGTTCAGGTGACCAAGTCCTTTCAAACGGTAGTTATATTAATGCAGAACTCTCTCACTACGCGGCGTTAGTGTGTACATGAACTTCCTTAATATGTTATGTGTGGAAAGCTTGTCTATATAAGATATTTCTGTGCAATGTGGGGACAGGAACCGGAAAGGTAGGGGTCAGAACGCTATTTTAAAATCCAAGATGGCGACCATAGGTTCAAGAAAAACTGTCAAATACCCTACAAAATGGGTATTTCTGGAACGGGGACGACGTGTAGAAGTCGGAAATCGATGCCAGACACCATTATGGAATCCAAGTTGGCGGCTATCGGTTCACGAAAAACTATCAAATTTCCTACAATATGGGTATATTCGGAAAGGGGATGACGTGTAAAGGCCGGAAATAGATGCCAGATGCAAATTTGGAATCCAAGATGGCGGCCATCGGTTCAAGAAAAACTGTCACATACCCTATAATATGGATATTTTCGGATATTCTACACCGTGTAGAAGCCGGAAATCGATGCCAGACGTCATTTTAGAATCCAAAATGGCGACCATCGGTTCAAGAAAAACTTTCAAATACCCTATAATATGAGGGGATGACGTGTAGAGGCTGGATATCGATTCTAAACGCCATTTTGAAATTGAAGATGGTGGCCTTTGCTTAAACGTAAACTTTTAATGGGGACGACGTGTATAGGCCCAAAATTGATGTCTGTCACCATTTTGGGATCCAAAATGGTGACAATCGGCTTTCGAAGGGACATTTAGTGTCTATGGATAGCCTCGTATCAGTTCAAAACAGTTAACGTGGACCGCTTACGGGGTAGGTTTGGCGATAATCCACTAGGAAGATGAATGTTGTCTAATTAATGTTTTAAGGTTGGAGCTCAAAATCTTGCCTCGCTTTAATTTTCCTGAATAATGCTTACCAGTCATATTGCGTATAATTTGTATAATGTGTACAACGTATCGTTGAACAAGATGGCAACGTTTCGACTTCCCTTAGCAAATCTTGCATTTTTGCACTCTGTTTGACATTACTGTTCAATTTGCAGAAGGTTTCGAACTCGGAGAGTTGATTTATTTTGAACTCGATTTCTGTCGTGGTGAGATGAAAATGTAATCCATATTCGTTGTAGATGGGTCAAGTTTTCTAACATTTCATCTGCTGTAGCCGGTTTATCTCTTATGATTTCGTTGATTTCACTGTGTTTCTTATCCCCGGCGCACCAAACATTCCGTTAATTTGTTGAATTTCGGACATGATCTGCAAATCCTCGTTGTCGTCTTCATTGCATTGTGACTTCGCGCAATAAGACGGAAGAATTTTATTCAAGCAGTTTACCAACGCTTTGAAAACCTTCATGACGTTCTGACGCAGTTTTCTGTTAACTGTACCACTTCAACGCCTTGATTACAACTTCCGCGAATCAGACAAACGTTCCTTGGAACGTTTCAGCACTTCACAGACGGTGGTTTTGGCCATTTTGAACTCCTTTGCGATCCTCGTACCCGACCATGTCGGTTTTCATATCTTGTGTGCAGAATGAATTCTTTTCTTTTTTCTTCCAAAATAAGGCCGGAAAATGAGTAAATTGACGAAAATTTTATTCAGTCTCCTAGTAGTACCAATAGACTGAGTGAATGCAATCTTTACTTTTCTCAAATTCAGGATTTTTTCCCTGGAAAATCCTGGAAAAACCTGGGAAAGCATGAGGCTGAGTTCCTGCACTTTTGGCGATTATGAGTGAACTAAACTCAAATTTGGGTCGTTCTCATTCGCCGCTAATTTTAACTGGACTGATTGAAAAAAAAAACGAAGAATTATTTTAGGCGCAGGAGTCTACTTTAGTGCAAAATGGGCAGTACAGATTATCGAATAAAACACATTATTTAAAAAAAATTGCTGAAAATTTTCTCATGTCTTGACGTTTTTCGGTTTCAGCATCTGATTTTAATGATGCCCAAAAATCAAAGGTTACTCAGTTTATTTAAGGATGTAGAAGCGAAGCTTTTATACCTCGTTCACATTACAGCGTATATCACGTGATATACGCTGTCTTGCAATGAGCACTCATACATCTAGTTTTCACTGGAAATCCTATGTATGAGTGCTCATTGCAAGACAGCCTATATCACGTGATATAGGCTGTAATGTGAACGGGGTATTACTGTGTGCATATGTGTCTTCAAAGATCAATCCTACATACGTAGACTGAGTTCCATACAAACTGATGTGACCGCTCTAAATCATCTGGAACAGATTCGAAAGTTGAACTGGCAGAATTCCAGTACAAACCTGGTTCATTTGTCCCTAGCGAACAATTATTACATTCGAAGTTTCATAGAATTCTGAGAGTTAAAAGCTGATCATCATTTATGCACCCTAATTTAAATCAAGGCCTACCTTTGTTCACCTGGGTCAAAGCGCCGCACACTGTCAAAAGACGGTCAAAAGTCTTTTCTCACCTTTATCAACGTTTTAGTGCCTAGGTGTCCCCAGAGAAGTTTCTTCAAATTTCATTTTGTATCTTTTGAAATATGCACCTGAATTTTTATTAAGGGGCTATTACAATTAGAAAATCTAACTTTTTGTAGTTACGAGATATTGGATTTATGTTCTTTGGAAAATTGTAGCAAATCAAATTTTAAGAAACTTTGCTGAAAAAATAAAATCTCTACATCTTAACCTCAGAGAGATATAGCTAGTTTTCCCTCAGGACTACCTTTTATTTTCTTTTTCTTTTTATGCGTTTATTTTTACAGGCTCATTTGCCGTAGCTTTGCGGAACCGATATTCATCGTTTGGGTTACAAAATTACTTAAAACTAACGTTAGTAAAGCGGGGGCCGATTACTCGCGGCTATCTCGAGGTTAGGGGTAACAAATTGTAATAAACGGGTGGCAGGGTAGGGATTGAAAACACAAGGTTTTTTAGAGCAATGTGCTCTTGATCTAGAACTAAGTGACATACTGAAGAGAAAGATAAACATGGGGGTACACCGATGGAGACCTAGTGACTTGAGAGAACACAAGATGACACTAACTACTAAATCCTTAGATCGATCCGTTTTAAAAACACATAAATTAAATTAAAATATTCGAGATCTCGGCTCGCCAAGATGTCTCTAACGGACCACATAGGTTGTTTTCCTCGGGCCCTGAAGGATGCGGATAACTCGGATCTAGCAACACAATGTAGGGTGCATGACCTACCACAAGCGCACAAATTGCTGCCTGCGAGCCCGATTCGGAAGAAATGCGAGTCTAACGAGTAGTGATTAGGCATGAGCCTTGACATGCAAAGTATAAAGTCACGGCTCATGTCCAATCCTTTTAACCATGGCTTGTTCGATACCTGTGGGAGAATAGAATGTAACCATGTTCCCAGATCACTCTCATTCCATTTGTGTTGCCAGTTGGTGAGGACGTGCTGACGGGTAATTGAAAAAAATTCCGCAAAGGCGATTTGTCGATCAAAAATATCGCCTTCCATAGCGCCCACCTTAGCTAGCGAGTCCGCTTTCTCATTACCCGGAATTGAGCAATGAGATGGGACCCAAACTAAGGTGATAGTATAAGAGCAGTTAGATAAAGTACTCTATTTAGCTCTGATTTCGGTCACGAAATACGAGGAGTGCTTCATCGGCCTCATTGATCGAATAGCCTCCAACGAGCTAAGACAATCGGTGAAAATAAAATAGTGATCAGATGGTAGTGAGGCAATTTGCTCTACTGCGTAAAATATGGCTGCTAGTTCCGCAACGTATACGGAACAGAGTTTTTGCAGTTGATATGAGGCGCTATGAAATTCGTTGAATACTCCAAATCCAGTGGAAGCGTTTATAGTTGACCCATCTGTG